CGCTCCCCAGCAGGAGGAGTTTCCCTAGCCTGGAGGATCTGTTGCCAGGAAGAGGCAAAGACACCCCCTCCCACCTCCCCACGAAAACAGCCCCCCTTCCTCTGTCGCCAAGCCTTGCCGCGTCTTCGCTCCGCCAAACCGCATCCCACATCAAAGCCCCAGCCCGCTCCTCTCCCTCTCTCTCCACGAGGTGCCAAAGGAAGTTCGAGCCCAGGAACCGAGGGCGGACGCACGAAGCGCCCGGCGCGGACTCTCCCTTGCTCCCCCCGTTACCTTGCGCCACGCCGCCGGGCTCCCCACAGTCTCGGCAGCTGCTCCTGGCTTCTTCCCACCCCCGCAAAGGCGCCTTCGCGGCGGCCCAAACGCAGTGGATGCCTCCTCCTCCTCCTTTGTCCCGCCTCCTCCTGCCTTCGCGCAGTTAGGGCAAAATGGAGCAGCCACGTGGGGTGGGGGAGAGAGAGAGGCAGAGGCAGAGGCAGAGGCGGCGCAGAGACCCAGCCAGATCCGCTGGATCCCAGCCCACCTGCCTCCTCTGTGCCCTCTCCAGAAGAGGATCCCTCTGGAAAAGGTAGGTCGCTCCCTCGCTCGCTCCCTGCCAGCCCAGTTCCCGCTTCAAAAGGAAACAAACTCGCAAGACGTTTTGTCTTGCGAAGCAAGCCCATAGGGAAATTCGTCTTACGAAGCACCTCAAAAACCGCAAAACCCTTTCGTCTTGCGAGTTTTTCGTCTTCCGAGGCATTCGTCTTGCGGGGCACCACTGTAATCCTATCAATTGAGAAGCACACTGTTCCAAGGGTGCATTGGCCACAGATGGAAGGGAAATGGCAGAAGCAATGCAGTAAATAAAATTATCATTTATGTAATGTTTGAGGACTAAAAATTACAGCAAATACTGCTTGTATTGACTTGTATGATTTCTGTTCCTGACCTCAAATGAACATGTGAATTGCAGGAATTCCTACTCCCATGTGTAGTGGAGTTTTTTGACATCTCTAGTCTTAACTGTGGTTCACTGAAATAAGCGAACCAGACATTGATGTTTAGTTAAATAAACCATTGTTCAAATTAGTTCTGCTTCTGAGTAATAACTGTAGTTATTTTTTAAAAAATGTAAGTGAAAGCTTCCAACTTCCTCCTTGCAGTCACAGTGAGAAGGAGCGGGGGGAGCTTGTGAACCTGATGCTTTCCTAGGCTATTACAGTAATGCTAAATCATACTTTACTATTATGTACATATGTAACTACTGTGTGGTAGAATCTAATTTTATTTATTTGAACAGCAAGCCTTTGTTAAGTTTCCAGCAGTTGCAAGGATGGCCAAGGAAGATGAGCCTCTTTGGAGAGCATCTTTCATGGTGCATCTGTAGCGGGCATTGCTCTTTGGGTTCACAGTTCCAGTCTACAAAACCATGCACAGGGTTTGTTAAAAGGCAGTAGCTGCAAATGGGGAGCTTGATATGAGAGACCATGGCCTAAAATATGTTGAGTCCCTCCCCCTTATAGCTGTATAGGAAATAAGAAACAGTTCTTACAAGCCCAGAATCCATTGCAAAGTTGTACAGCTGTGTTATAAGTGAATAATTTTTAAAGGAAGCTCTACACAGAATTTATTTCAGTAGTTGGGCCATTGTTTTGTTGCAGGTGACTATGTCCCTGTGTTCCTGCCTTGGGCACAAAGCATTGTCTGATCTGACTGGAAGATTGTACACATGCCTGCCACTTTAATCTCCCAAAGCAGTATCTCTTTCCTAATGCAGAGAAGGTGGCAGGACAATGCTCAGCGGGGTTATAATTTCCCTAAAACTGAACCGTATTTTTTTTCTTTCATTTTTATTTATTAAATTTATATCCCACCCTTCCTCCTGCAGGAGGAACGATACGACAATATATATTATGTTAATGTCCTACCTTCCTTCCATGTTGCTTAAGTTGGTGTACATGGTTCTTTTCTTCCCATTTACACCTTGGTCTCCAAGGCCCTACTACTCCAACACTCTCCTCCCCACCTTCTATAGATCACACAGATGGTTAGTGTATGTTGTGGTCATAGGGCTGGATTTGGTGAAGGGTCATTAGGCCTAATCTCATCCTGCACATAATCTGTGCATAGATTAGCTTGGTCTAGTCCATGATGTACTGTGATGGTGGAAAGGCACACTACAGTAAAGTGCATGAAGAGCAAGTGTCTTCAGAAGATGTAATTAATGGAGTCAATTATGGAGCCTTATGATAAAGTGAATGCATTGTGAGGAACCTTAATACAGCAGCCTAGTTTCTCCACAGGTCATAAGTACCAATAATTTCTGATCCAGTGCTGGGAAATGTGGGACTGTGTCTTGATGCCTGGTGCAGTTGTCCAGCCTGGAAACCACTTGCACACGCCATTTTGTGTGAATGGTTCCTGATCTAATAGGGGAGATACACATGAAAATAAACTTATCGTGCACTCCAATCTCACTGGAAGGGATGTAAGAGGATTTAATTTTTTTTCTATTTATCTAAACTTCTGATTATCTGAATGTTCACCTTAAGGTCAGGGTAAGACTGTCTTGCAAATAAGTCTACAAATGTGACTAGCTTACAAACTTCTTATTTGTTTGCCTATCTGCATATATCTGTCAATATTTTGTGACATACTGGCAATCTGAAGGAAAGAGTGGTCCTGTTCTTTTACAGTTTATAATAGCTTCTCTGCATGGTTGCTTAGGGGAGGCCTTTACCCATCTAAGGCAAGCAGACCAGTGGCTATAGTTTCAGTATAGTGATATGAGGTGAAACTTTGATTATAGGATCTAGAATAAGGGCTTAAAAAATAGGTAACATTTATTTTATTCAGGAGGTTGCAAAGAGATGTGACTTCAGTAGCTGAAGTCTTGAATGTTAGGTGTGTTTAAGATCAAGCCATTTGAACACTGCCACCTTATAGATTGTACCATGTATTTCTATTAATACTTCTAGTGTTATTTTCCTGCTGCTTTGTTTTTCTGTAGAGGTTTTAATTCTAAATTTCTATGCTGATGATGTTCTCCTTTTCCACACATGTTTTGTTTTTTACTTTTACAGATGCTATAGAGGGAAGTGAACTTAAACAGTTTTTTGAGATTAACTATTCTCAGATTTATTTTATCTTCTATGAAAATTTCATAACACTGGAAACTAGCTTGAAACAAAAAGGTAAGAATTTTAAGTGGCTTTGTTTGTTAGTATATTCTTTTAAGTTGCTTAATACTGACCTATACATACTAGACCCCAAAATCCACTCCTTGGCATATCTCTATATAATAAAAATGTAAGAATGTCACCACACAGCCCACATTGGAGGACATGTGGTGCCTCATTACAATCCTGAATTTGCCTGAATCACAGTTGGGTGGGGCAGGGCAAAGTGAAGGCAGGTTGCCAAACAGCAGTGGCCGTGACACTGGAGCAATACAGGAAAAACAGGGGAAGACTGGCGATTTTTAACAATGCAGAGGTTTGAGTAGAGCAAGTAGGCATGATACTGAGCAGAGAGAAGTGGCAGTTCAAAATAAGGTTTGAATGCAGTGAGAACAATTTGGAGAGGCTCTGTTGTGTTAGCTTTTTGGTGTCAGCCATCTCTATTTCTCCTTGTTAAAACTGGTTTGTTTCAAATTTTTAAAAAAGTGTCCTTCATCCCTGCTTTATTTAAACCTCTGTTGTTGTTTAAAACAGCCATTTTCCCCTTTCAGCATCCATCTGTGTAAGAGCTAAAGGATGTAAAGCCCTCAAATGCTCCATAGTATCTTCACACATGTTAGGAAAGTTCAGCAAACCTAACAGCAAGTGCTAGCACCATCATCCTTTGGAAAACTTGGTTGCAGCTGTTCAAACTTTGTTGTCAGCTCATGAAAAAATTGGTTGTGAGACTCCTGGCAAGTCATTTAAACCACTCAATCTAGCTTGGGGCTCAAAAAAAAAGGAAAGGTATTTATTTATTTATTTATTTATTTGTAGTATGTGACAGTTTATTAAGATGTAGCCCTGCTTAGCATGCACAAGAAGCACATCTTCCCCTCCCCAAACACATTTTTATGTGATTGCAAAAAGGAGGCAAAACTTTTGCTATTAAAATATTATGTCCTTAGAAGTGTAAGATACTTTTATTTGCATTCCCTTTACACACTTGTGTGATTGTACTTAATACACACAGGTCCCGCTATCCAAACACAATGTGTTCTCTGGAAATAGTTCGTTAGACAAGCATTTGCATAACAAATCAATAATTTCCACTTATTCCTATGGGGACATTTCTAATGTGTTCATGACTGCAACATTTTGACTTCCAAAGCCCCCCTGCCCCCCTGGAAAACCCTCTGAAACTGTACTAAAGCACAGATCACTAGAGTTTAATATAGTACAGTAAATAATCAAAAGGCAAACAAGGAGGATGGAAAAAATGCTCTCTGATTTGCCTGATTGCTCCCCCTCCGTCCCTCTCTCTCCATTCCTCAGCCAACCTGCAAAAGTGAAACAAGGAAGTAAAAAATGTTTTCTGTTCATATATCTGAATATGTGGTGTGCGTATAGTGAGTTTGGGGTACTAATTCTTCACGTTTGGATAAGTGATTTTTTACATAGGAAGCGTTTAGGAAGTGTGACCTATGTGTATTCATTTTTAAGTGTTATGTGCATTTCGGTAAAGCTTTTGTTAAATTATCTCAGTTATTTTGATTGCATCAATTGCTGCCCTGTGGCTGTACAAAGCCCCTGGGACCAGACAGGTTAAATTGATAAGGAGGAGTGTAGGAGCCTCCAATTCCAAGTCCTGGCACCCCATTAAAAATTTCTGATGATAAAATCTAAATCCTATTCAGCTACAAATAAGTCATTATTATATCTTTTTAAATTACCCATGAGGAAATGTAAATATCTAAACTTATCAAACACAAATACTATATAGAGTGAGTTTTGCAAGAATTTAATTTGCTAAGAAGAATCGTTAAGTGGTATATCTTTTTTCAAAACAACAAGATAACACGGGCCTAGGATAGCTCATTGGTAGGGCAGGAGACTCTTAAGCTCGTGGTTGTGGGTTCGAGCCCCTCATTGGGCAAAAAATTCCTGCATTATAGGGGATTGGACTAGATGACAGTGTGGTCTCTTCCAACTCTGCAATTCTACAATTCTACTTCAGTTTATTAAAAAGGAAAGTATGGCTGGTCTAGGGATAGATTGTATGCTGCTATAGAAAGTTTAATATATACCGTAGTTTGTTTTTGGCTACTGCTCATGGTTGCTGAGGAGAGGGCTTAACCACAAGACCCAGTTTGGAGAACATGCTAAGCTAAACCTTGCTCAGTGTTGGGCGGGAGCAAAAAGGACCAGGGAAGAGCAAAGTCCTGGAAAACCATAGTTTGAGTTACCATGTCATGAAAACCAGGCCAGTATCCTTTTCTCCTGAATATTGGACCCCTCTTCATTTTGCTTCCCATTACATCCCAGTTTCTCTACTCACTAAATATTCCTTAAGACATAACGTGTGTGACAGAGAGCCTTTTCGTGGGCTGTCAGTTATTAGAGCAAACGGTTGAAGGAAAGAAGCTTAGATTTATCTTTAACTTTTTTCTGACACTGTACTGCTCCTTCGTACTGTTGCATTCCTTAGTGTAGTAGATATGCTAGCAGAGCACTGAATTTGAAAGCTAGCAGTCTGACGGGATTTATTAACAGAGTAGTGTATTGTATTTATCCATACTGACTGGAAACATTCCTTTTCTCCCAGGGAATAAGTCACAAAGGGAGGAGCTGGACTCCATTCTCTTTCTTTTTGAAGTAAGTTATCACATTTCAGTACTACTCAACATTATGGTTCCTTCATGATTATAGTGAATAAGTTACATTTCTGACAAACATTTATTTCCTCACAAACTGTAAAGTGAGATTTATGTTTTTCCCCCTCTATTTTAAATTGTGGGCAGACCCTCTCTTTCTCACATTCAGTTTGTGAGTAATGTAAAGAAAAATAGCCTGACATCTAGTCCCTATCACGCTTCCAGTGACTTAACTGGAAGTGTGAGGTGGGATTAGAAGACTCCCTGCATTTTATGTCTGTCCTGCAAGGGCATTGAGTTTCTAACTCTTGTAGAGCAAAAGCTATGAGGCAAAATCTGTAGGCACCATTCAAGGCTATTGCTTTTTGAGAGATGAGCCACTTCCACTTCAGTGTTTTTAGTCAATGATTGAAGTCGGAGCTGTGATTGATGATTGGCGTTTTTGCAAGGCACTTGGCCCTTCTCCATACTTGTTGTCTGAAAGACCAAAGTGCTGTCTGTAGCGAATGGATAAAGAACTCCTGACCTGTGCTGAAACAGGGAGTCTACTTCTGGCTTCAATGTGTCACTGTTCCTTGGTCACTTCTGCTTCTAAAAAGCATAATTCACCAGGGAGTACAAGCTTCACAGGTTCACCTTGGCTGGAAACCAAGCCACCACCACCCCACACACCTGGTTCATTTTGAAGGGATTTGCTTATTCTTTATAAGTGATTGTTGTACACTGAAAGTAATTAGAAAATTCATGATTGTAGTGTAGCTTAGACTGAGCAGTAGCATATCTGCCCAGAAGCAAAAGGTAGCAGCAAAGCTGGGTGTTTGTGCTATTTCTAACTCAGGTTTAATGTCATGGTAAAAATGTGGGATTTTTTGTCTGAACATATAAACATTTTAAAAATTGCTTTGCTAATGCAAATAAAATCCATGTTGCAAAGCGGAGATGGTATTATAGTTTAGAAAACCCTGCAAAGGGGGTGGGCGTTGATAGACAGTAGTGTATGACAACCATGAAGTGTAGTCCAATGTTTTCATCCAGTTTCTTGGTGGTAGTGTTCTTGGGTTTGGTTTGGTTAAAGAAAACTGATTTGGGGGAGCTCTCACATGGATTCTAGTAGCAACATGGGGGAAAGGGGGTTAATTGTTTTCCCACTTAAAGACTGTTTTCCCTCAGATGAACCTGCTCAGGCTCAGAGATCTTCTGTGGAGGCCCTTTTCTTGGCACGCTTGGTGGGGACACGGGAGAGGGCCTTTTGGATGGCTGCTCCCAGACTTTGGAACTCCTTTTCTAGAGAAGTTAAACTGGCTCCTTCCTTGTTGTCCTTCCACCAGCAGATAAAGACTTCTTTGTTCCAACAGGCCTTTAGAAAAGGGCTGGTGCTGAGATATTTTTATTGTACTGATCTGTATGTTTTAATTGTGTGTGTGTGTGTGTGTGTGTGAGAGAGAGAGAGAGAGAGAGAGAGAGAGAGAATTCTGTTACTCTTTTTTCATTATGGTTCCCCCCTATGATTTTTGTTGTTGTTGTTGTTTTAATTTTTTTTTAATTTCAAGTAATAAAACATACCCATACAAGGAAAACAGGGCCTAATAGTTCTATAGAAAAGAAAGAAAAATAGCAGCTGATGGTTGTAGTTTTAGATGTTCCAAGAAAGGCAATCAAATGAAAGTATCTCTCCATAAGGTTCTATGAGTTGATGGAGAGTGAAAACCATATTTGATTGTCTTAATAAAAACGAAAAAGGATACCATGTCATATAGATGGTGTGAGTCTTTCCCACCCCCAGATCAATATTCCTTTTCTGAAATAGCTAATTTATCTATAAGCATGATGTCCCATACTTGCAAAATCCAGGCTTCAAAAAGATTTGCAGTTAAAGTTTTCCAATATTTTTGCTATCGCAAATCTAGCTGCTGCTAATAAATGGAGGATGGGGTCTTTATTTGTTATGTTCTCAATTTGAAGTAAAATAAGGCATTACAGCTCATTTTGGGTCTGGTTGTAGCAATTGCCCCATCATTTGATTAATTGTCTGAAAAGCTTACCAAAAGAGAATAATTTTTGGGCCAAACCACCACATGTGCACTAGAGAACCAGGCAAATTGCCTAGCCAGTAGCAAAGGCTGGATGTGTTACGTTTAATTCTGTATAATCCAGACCCTCCAGGTGTCCCTATTTTCCAGGGACAGTCCCAGATTTACAGAAGCCATCCCAGTTTCTGATTTGATCCTGGAATGTCTATGTAGCCGCATGGTATATCTTTATAAATATAAATTTTATTTCTGGAGCTGTAAGGGGCTTTTGACAAGTGTAGAAGTCCCTGAGCTTAAATAATCCCACTCTTTCCCACCTAGCAAATGAGCCCGATTGGGGTTTTTAGTTGTTGTTGTTATCTGTAAGCCACCTTGCGTTCCTGTCAGGAAAAAAGACGGGATGTAAATAAATATAACAACGACAACAACAGGATATATTTTTATTAGGGATTCCAACTCTTTTTGCTAAAAACAACAACAAATAAAACGGTGGCTTTGACCTGTGCTGATTGCATTACTGTAGTTATTATGTCTATAAATAATACCTGATTCTTGCTTTTAAACAGTTTAATCTTGAATTTATCTAAGCATGGACATCTGAACCTTTCTTGCTGTAAATTTATTTTAATCACCACTAACCAACCATCTGAAATACCATACCTAGCTTTGCACTTCATGTACTGTTCCCCTTACTTCAGTTGATGCATGTTCTGTATTGGGATGGGAGACATGTGTCCCTGCAGATATTGCGGGATTCCAGCTCCCATCATCCCTGACCATTGGCCCTTGTCAGATGTCAGTGGTGGTTGCTCGTGAGTAACCAGGCAGGACTCCAACCTGTCTTTAACAGGTTTTATTTTGGTGCAAAACTATTTACAGTGTAGAGCCATCAGTTCATGTCTGCCTCAATCGCTTGCAGAATCCGGGAGTGGTCCTCCCCCAACATAAGAGCTTAGTCATCCCCTTCCTTCTTTGCATTTTACACCTCTGCGCAAGGTGGGCAACGGAAGAGGCATGCTTCCCTCCTGGTCGGCTTGGCAAGGAGCGGTGAGAGGCTCCCAGCAGCATCCTCTAGCCCTTCCCCCCCTTTACCCGGGAGGTGTGGCTTTCCCCACCACAGGAAGAGGAACTGCTGCTCAAGATTTTCGGAGGTTCCCTGTATCCCAACTGCCCCTCTGCCTCCCTTCCCTGTTCTGATGGCAGTCCCCTGACAGCTGTCTTGGTTTCAGCAGTTTATACTTGGAGCCCAACATAATCCAGAGTGAGACAGGTTTCCGATTCCTGATCTACAGTAGCACAACCAATTTATACCTCATGAAGCTTTAGTTCTTTGTTCTTTGTTGGGGTTAGGCTTGGTACTGGGGGAGAGCAGGGTTCTTTTGCCTTTATAACACCTGTTTGGCAGGCAGAAATTCTAGTATGGAAATACTATTAGGGAAAAATTATTTCTTGATTGTGGCCACTTATTTATTTTTTGGCTCTGTACACCACTTGCGAAAGCTGAATCAAATTTGCATATAACACAAAAGTATATTGTACTAATGTGTGTCCCCTTTTCACATTCTACGTATAGAGTACTGTGCCGAAAAGAATCTATTGGTACTCCTGCTAACAGAACTACGACTCTTCCCTTTCCCTTACATGCCAGCTTGGAACAGCGCAGTGAGCCCCAGCAAGAACCCTCAAGCTGCAGAGGTGCACACATGTTGGTTGGCCTAAAGTGCCTCTGTAGCCTAAGTCCAATTGAACTTTGTGTTAGTTCCCTAATCTATAAAAAACTGCTTTAACAGTCGTCTGAAATACAGTATGCAAATACTGTAAACAAACATATAATAAAATACTTTATTTTGCTTTAACTGCTTCAAAGGGTTTGTGATAAAATCTGTGATACAATCTGAATAGTTCTAGATGCATGCCCCTACTTTTTAGTTATATTGCTTTTGGCTTTAAAAGTCTCTTAAACGTTTTTAATACTTAGAAGGCATTTACTTGAATCCTCTCAGCAAGGCCTAATGATTTCATAATGGTGGCTGCTTCATTTTTTACAACTTTTTTTCCCCTGCAGACAGGTTATTATTGCCATAACCATCTGACATGTGTGTTTAGTTTTGCTCATTCATTCAGCCTAAAGAGAAATCCTGGGTAACCTGAATGCTTACTTCCAGCAGTTAAAAAATAATTGATAACTTAATAGTATTATCCTATAGTTATTATTAGAATTGTCCTTTGGAAAGGAGCTGTTATAAACTCAT